GACCGTGAAATGTAATTTAACCCAATCAGGACATGGAGGCAGCCAGGACCATGCAACTAAAGATGCTCACGTAAGACCTGCTTTCAGACCTCCCTCAGAAAGTGGCAAGAATGATGCGAAAAGTATCTTCAAAAAGAGGAGGAGTATTTTCCAGGGCTTAATGGCAATGTGTCTTTTGCTGTAGTAAGTATTTTTCATTTAAACATTCATTGTGTCTGTCGATTATACTGTGTGTGTGCATGTGTGTGTGCGTGGCATCTGGGATCTAGGAACAGTGGACTGACAGGAATGGTGAGTCAAGCACTTCTGTTCCAGGTGATCGATCCAGTACCGGCTGGCTTCAAAATGGGTCAACTGTGCAAGGGAGCTGGTGCATCTCCGGAGCTTTCTCCTTGGCATCTGTATGTGATTACCATTTGGTCATGCAGTTTTGATGAAATTAAAATTTTAAAATTCTGAACACATAGAGCATTGTGCTTGTCACCAATTATCATTGTCACCTGACGCGAGAACTGGGGCTGTGGGCTTTGACTCCATCACACCCCTGCACAGGGCTGGCCCTGGAGAGAGCTCAGAGAGGGTCATCCTCCCCGGAGCCCTGCAGCTACCAGACGGTGCCTGCAGCATTGACACCAAAGCTTCTGGAAAGGACTAAGTATCGGAAATCAAGTCATGAGAAGAAAATAACTGAATGTGCAAGAAACAAACAACTGAAAGGAAACTCATGTTTTAATGGACATAAAGATTGTTTGCATTTAGAAAATTCACATTCTGAAAAAACTTAAACACCCACAAAAAAATGCCTCAACATCTTCGCCATGATTGAGAGGCAAAGACTCCTGCTATGGATAAAGTGACTGCACGTTCTTTTTCATTACACTGTGGCTGTTGGCATTATTAAATATGGTTACCTTGTAAACACCCCAAAGCCAAACACTGTACTCTGCACGGAATCATTTAGCTGCCACTTGGGATATCTACTGCTACAATTCTATCTGCAGCAAAACTTACACTTGTAGCAAGTTCATGGAGTATTATTTTCGTCATTATTTCCTAATTATCTATACCAAGACTGTAAGTAAGCCAAAACATATTCTTTAGTTTTGTCTTTTTTTCTCTTTTTTTATGCTATGGAAACTGATTCTAGTATGTTTTGTGACAAAGAAGTATACAGCTATTGAAAAAATATGATTCAAAGAATAAAAACAAATAGAAATCAAATAATGTGAGAAAACTGCTGAAAAAAGATTAATTGTGAGCATCCCTAAAACTTGTTTTTTAAATTTATGCTTTACTGTATTTTCCATATTCTCCAAGACAAAGATGCCTGGGTTTAATCATTAAAATACAAATTGTTGTTAATTTTTAAAGAGGATAGAATAAGACAAGGTATGGATGTCAATGTATTTAAAGACATATGCAAGATATCGTGTACCCTGGAAAAGGCAAATATATGAATCCTTCCACAAATTGCATGAATTCCAATTCAAATACCATCTGGTGTTACACAACCACAAATCCCCTACAGAGAGGTTTTTCTTCTGCAGCACAATGCAACCCCTTTATCAAAGAGTGCAAAGAATCTTTAACTGAATTCAATTTCAAGAAAATAAAGTATCAGTGGTATGAAGTGAAACCATCCAATAAATGCTTTCACAATGCCTAGTGCTCACTATGAAAAACTAGAATATCATTCTATTTTTGCACAGCTCATATTTTTAAACCATCCCCAAGTTCTGAAATATACACCTGTTATCTAAACTTCTCTCGTTAAGTCAAGCCTTCCCAAACAGGAATCTGAGGGCTGGGCTATTTTTACAGCTTTATAACTCATTCACACTCCCTCTCCAGCTTTCCGAGACTAATCCCACCGAATTTCCTGTACAGAATTCCTATTTTCTTCCTTTGGTGAGATCTTCCTGAAATGCTCATGTTCCTAAATGCCAACCTGTGTGCGGTCCTCAGTGGTTCCCTACCAATCCTTGTTTACCAAGGCCTTGTTTGTGGAATAGTCATTTATAGTGAACTATCTCACTCAGTCTACAATAGCTGAAATAGGGTTTGGAAACTAACCTGCGAAATTGTGTTTTTCAGCACTGAAAATTCAGCTCTGAGCATTTGCACTGAACTACATCCCCAGCCCTTTTTTATCTCTTATTTTGAGACAGGGTCCTAGTAAGTTATTAAACTTCCCAGGCTGAACTCAAACTTGTGATCCTCCTGTCGCAGCCTGGGATTACAGGTATGGGTACCATGCTCAGCTTCTCTCACCTCCCCAATAAAGTCGAGAAAACTAGGCTTTGAAACCAGCTCAGTGTCACTCAACCAGCAATCCCAGCCCGCTGCTCTTTCCCTATACTTTACTTTTCAAGTGTTTACAATGTATTACACATGGTTATGGTTCTAGAATAGAAAATACAACCCAGGCTCCCAAGGTCACTAGAAATGCGGGCCATACTTGGGACAAAAGAGTGTATGTTGCTTATCAGAAATCCAAACTTTGGTAGGCATTCTGTGCATTGTTGTTAATTCTAGCAGGCCTACAGGTTCCTGGCCTGCACACCATACTGCAAGTTCAGCTGACTCAGTCGCTGGCCCCGTCCTTCCTGATTTGGCTGGGCTGGCAATGGGATGAGACAGGGTCTTCCAGAAGTGCCTAGATGAAGACCACGAGGACAGTGGGGAGAGAGACCACCAGGGACAAGTTCCCTTCAGAGCAATTCCCAGCTACTGTTGCAGCCAGGGTAGGTCCATGAGACAGCCACTCACAAACCCCTTCTCTCATCCCTTACAAGAAGCTTCTGTGTTTGACTTAAAGCCAACTCCTGAAGAGCAGAAGGCACTGCCCTGATCACAGGAGGACTTCCAGAGACAACATGGAGTCATTCGAGTCAAGCTAATAGGAGAGCCTTTTACAAAGTTCTCTAAAGATGAATGAGGGACACAAGACTGAGGGGGATCTGCACCTGCTCCCCAAATAAGACTCCTCTGCCCCTGGGCTGATGGTCAGAGTCCCTTTTCCCTAAAGAGGGACTTGGGAAAGAGCCTAGCAACGCTTCAAGTCCTTTCCCACATGCTGCTGTCTGGAATCAACTTGCCACAATCTCAACCTCTCCTTTCCACGGTCCTCCAGATGCAAAAAGGGACATGGACAAATTAAATCACGGCAATAGGAATAGTGAGTTAATAGGTATCTTAAGAGTTTCTAACAGGAGGATGAGACCGTGCTGCATTCTGGAGAAATGAAGGGAAGTTTGGCACATCCCTCATGGTCTGGGTGAAGGGCTCACACCTATGGAGAAATGATGCAATGCTCTCGGTGAGTGCAGCCATGAAACAGGTGGCTAGAATGCTCACAGGACCTTGGAGTGGAGGCAATGGGGCAGCTCAGGACCAAGGAGAGATCTTGAGCCAGGTCCTCACTATGAGGAGGAGATTCCCAAGCAAAAATATGGGGTGGGAGGAGGTGGAAGGTGAGTATTCCAAAAAAAGGAGAAGTCACCAAACCTCAGGGGCAAGAGAAAGCATCTTCTATAGCTGTGGGAACCGCAAATGGAAAATGGCTGAGACTGTGAGGAACATGGGACCCTGGGCAGAGGGGCTGAGGGCCCCTCCGAACAGCCAGCATTCATCCAACGGGGCTATGTAAACAGATGACGGTGATGGTGGTGTGGAGCAAATCTGGAGACAGGAGGCCAGGTTAACACCCCCGCAGGAGTCACCGAAACTCTAAGTGATGGAAATCAATAAAGTCAGCATAGGAAATCCCCAAGTGTTCTCAGTGGATTAAAGTAAGGGAAAGCTCACCAGGTAACCCTGTCCAATCCATTTTTCAGTTTCCTCAGAACAAGCAAAAGGAGCATGCGTGACTTGTCCCCTGCCAGGCACTAAGCCAACTTCTTACTATTCACTGAAAGGTGCAGTCACACATCATAATGGTGTTGGGCCAGGATTATGCACAAGGACTCCTTAAAACCTGATGGTAGAAGCAATGATCCCAGAAAGTGATAATGTGGTTCTGGAGTACCCAGAATTTAAGCTAGATTCTGCTTCTCTTAGGACTTTACGGGAATTGTACAACCCCTGCAGCTACAAAAGGTATGTTTCATAATCTAGAAAACTTGGCTGAAAAATATTAGTGCACTTTGCTGCCAAACATACCTTCCTTAGATGCCAGAAGACTAAATCTACACAGAGCATCTTGTTTCAAGTTTAATATCAATTTTCCTGAGAGATGAATGTAACATGTTTTATGTGTATCATCCTCAAAACAGTCTGACAGGACAGGTAATTCGAATGGAGGGACTACTCGTATTTTCCAAAGAAGTAGTAGTAAATTTGAGGAAAAGATGCTCAAAAATCTTGTCAATTGTTCTCCGTGGCCTCATTATCCAACTGCATGGAGATGCGGGCCTCCACACGGGAACGTGCGCATCTTGAAAGACAGAAGACGAGGACAGTTCCCTTGGATTCTCAGCCCACTAGGAAAGAGCCGAGAGAGGTCACACAGAAAGGTGATGAGGGGCTCAGGTGCTCAGGAGGGCTGCTTGACCTCTGATCCCACTGGAGAACACAATGAAAAGATCGGAACAGGGTTAATTTGCTGGAGCCTGATTGCCTGGTTTGAAACTCTGTTCTGTCTTTTATTACGAGTGAATATGCCTCAGGACAACATATTTACCTACTCCCTGCCCCAGTTTCCTCTTCTCTCAAATAGGGATGTTGCCAGTATTCACCTCTGGTGGTTGGATGGGAGGAACAAATGCGTTACTTCAGGTTAGAAGGGATCGGGCACACAGTGAGGTCCAGGCAGTGCTTGCTATGAGGGGCACACTCATCCCTGATTCCCTGATTCGTGCACTTCATGACACTCCGACTGCACTTCATTCTTACATGAAATCACCCAGCACTCTTCCACTTCAGCAGAACTCTCGTATGGCCGCACAGACACAAAATGAAGTCTGAAAATATCTACAGTGGCAAAACATAACATCTCTCACCTTGCTCCTACCACAAGCTCTTTCTGTCCTGGGTCAAATGTTAACTGCGAGAAATCCACAGCATTCTTCGCTCTGAACTCCCGCAACCAGGGGCCAATTTCTAAACAGAAAAAATAAATACATGAAAAGATAAAAATGAATGGTTTTCCCCCGGAGGACCACAGAGAGGGCACATCAGGTAGCAAACATTACACTGGAAGAGGATTTGGAGGTCCCCCAGTGAGGTCATTAGGGGCCACTGGAAGTCTTTCGTCAGGATGTCTCACAGCCACACGGAGAATGTGTGAAATGCAGAGAGTCGGTGCCCAGGAAAGAGCATGCATGGCACTGAGGCGTGGCTGAGATTTACGAGCCAGATGTGCATTTTCCTCTTGGCTCTGGGCTGGGCAGAAAATAACATAGCACACTCATGATTCATCGATACTGAATGCAAACAAGACAGTTTCCTGTGCAACCAGACTGGAAAGGGCTGAAGACTTTGCAAACTCACAAAAGCCCTCCTAGGAGCAAGGATAAAGCACCGGGCACCGTTTGCCGTCCATCAAATTAGACATTCTGTTTCCCTGTCCTTTGGGTTCCTATTTGAGCCTGATTATTAGACTTGTTAAACACATTCAGTCCTTTCTAGATGAGAAATCCATAGTTACTTCTGGCCTCATCTGCATTTTTTTCTAAGGGAAATCAGGAAATGGTCACTCTATAGAGACAGAGTTTTTACAAGCACCGTTAACCCCTATTAGAAGGCCTCCAGCCTGGAGCCTGGTGATTACAAAATGATAGTATTTGAAGAGAACTAGAATGGTGCTTCATGAGCCATTTTTGCAACTGTTGGTAGCTCGTGTTTGGCAGCAAAAAACTATGCAGTGAGTTGCCTGCCAGTCTGGAGATACGTTATTGTTATCTTGGCAGTTAATCATGTTTCTGGGTGGTCTTTACTCTTGTATTTCATATTTTGAATGATATCACACCAATTAAACAGGCATGTGACAACTGTCAAATCAACAAAGTTATTGGTTTGAGGAAAAGATGAATAATCTCTTTCAACAAACACGGACACTACAAATAGATATAATGTGGAAATATGCCCATGTCCCGTAACATATCTAAAACATAGAAATTACTTTTTAGCTGTGAACAGAATATTTTTGACTAATAACTTTGTATATAAAATATCTTTTCTATCAGTTATTGGGGGAAAATTAATATCAACTGAGTTATTTTCTGCTTAAAGGAAACAATGCCTGAACTAGAAACTTGTATTTGGTTGTGCAATTTCAATATGCATTTTTTGCTATTTTATAAAAATTTGTTCATTTTTAGAGTCAGGACAATTACAACAAAATATTGATAACAAAGTATGTACAAGGCTTTGGAGCTACAAAAATGTTATTAATGAACAATCCTTCAATAGCTTATAATTCAGTTGGGGGAAAAACAATAATATCTTTTTTTAAATGGCATTTATAATTACAAGGTATTTATAAGGTCTTGTAGAGTCGCAGGGATCATTCATAATATAAAAAGGCAAGATGATTGGGAATTTAGGTATTATGAAAGAAAAGATTTGACCAGAGAGCCACAGGACAGATGTCCTAGAGGGACAAGAAGAGAGCACAAAGGAAACTGTGTCCTCTCTGGCCATAGTTGGTATAGCTACTCTTTACTTAGCCCATTTCTCCTTTTCTGGGAAAGATGGCCCCCAAGGGCTCCCTAAATGTGATGAGCACAATAAATGTGCAAAATCAAAGAACAAGAACAAGTGAGTGAATTCAAGAGCAGGAGAATTTCAAGGAAGGTCGGAATTTGGAAAAAATAATAGCAACTTAAAAATTAGTACGAAAGAGAATGGAAAGGTACTTAAACTGCAGAAAAACTGACTTGCAGGCTTAGAGTTCATCTTGTATGTGACGAAATCAAAGATCCGCCTCATTTTTACACAAACATGTGACCCATTGAATTGTATACCCCACGAATATGAATGAGCTATTGCTAGGCAAGGTGGTTTGAAAAGGGGGATGAATGAAGGGAAGAGTATTATATTCTTTAATAAAAACTTTTTAAAAAGCATAGAATTCTGGATTTATCTATGAAAATATGATAGAGAAAGAAGATGTGTTGGGATAGTCTGATTAGGATGGATGATTGAAAATGAAGTCAAGGGGAACAAATTAAAGAGAACAAAAGTTTCCATATTAAATGAAGAGGGCAGGGATGATGTAGACATAGATATAGAGTTCAGGCTGATTTCAGAGGACGTAATGGATGAGTGCAAATATGAAAATGGTCTACATGAAAAATTCCAATGACAAGTTATTCCCAGAGCCACTGCTAAACATTACTAAGAAGCAGAAGAGTACATAAAGATGTTGAAGTTCAGAGCTTCATTCGGCAAGAAAACCTATGAGCAAGGAGCTCTGCCAGTGCTGGAGGGAGGACACCCCACTCTTTGCCCACCCGTCCCAGGCTCCAGAGCTGAGCATCAGGCACACTTCAAACTGTGTGATGAAAAAAAGAAAGGACTAAGGGCTAAACTTGCTGCTAGGGGAATGGAAAGATGAGCCACATAAGCGAGAGAAGACCATGAAAAGATGCAAAAATATCAGCTTATTTATGCATCCAGTGTTTACTTTCATTAAAAGAACTGGAAGAGAGTGGCCAATAGGCCCCAGGATGATCACACACATTCTAGGTTTGGGTTCTCATCTTGAATAACAAGAGAATAATATACTACTTCCTAAAATAGCCTCCATTAATAAAAGGATTTGTGTACAGAGAAAAAAAGGAGTCAAAGGGATAAGGTTGTGTCAATTTTGTTTGATTTTCCTTATTTAATATTCTAATGTACTTCTCTAAGAAAACTGTTTACTTTTAAGGCCAATACTGCATTCAAGTTGGATAATCTGCATAATCATTTCTTTTTCATTTTCCAGTGCATTCCTCCAGACCACACTATCTCCGCTTTGCACATTGCATGGCCTTTTGTCTTGGATTTCATGAGGTCCTTGGGAGACAGTTTTTGTACCAACCCACTTCTCCAGTTGAGAACACATCCACATGATACCCAGACTCTCCCTGCTCCCCAAAGGTAGGAATGTAGGCATCTTCTTCTCTCTGGGAAGACCAGTCCCCCAGCCTTGCTCCACTCCCATCTCTCCTCTCCTCTTCGGTCTTTTCTCTAAATTACCTCCTTTTTTCTCCCTAATATCTCCAATGTTAGCCATCCTTTTCTCCTCTCCATATAAGTATATGCACATCTCCCCCATTTTTAAAATTTTTTAAAATAGGCCGGGGATTTAGCTCATTGGTTCTACTGCCTGCCTCGCAAGTGGAAGGATCCAAGTTCTATCCCCAGTACCAAAAAAAACTTTTAAAATATATCTTATTACACTCATTTGTTATCAAAACCACCCAAAAATGCATTATAAATTCTTAAGTACTATGTGTTAATTAAAGATAATAGGCTCAGAAAGTTATTTCAGACTTAGAGATAAAACTTTGCAACTCAGTTGGAGGTATTATTATCCTTATAATCTTGAGAATAAGTCTGGACCAAGGCCATTATGAGAAAGCCAATTCACAGGCCAACCTCACTTAAAAACATGGCTGAAGACATTCCTAGTAGTATGAGCAGATACGATGTGTGTGTTTCCACGCTCACGGATGTGCACATGACACACACTCTATTTCTTATGGGCCAGAGCTCCCCCAGGATCACAAGGATGGCTCGACAAGCTTAGCATCAGAAAATCCATCAATGCAATTTACCATCACAGTAATGGAGGTCAAAAGGAGCAGTAAGAAATCAGCGCTATTGCTTTCTAAGGAATCAGAAAACAAAAGCTCTAGGAGAGCTCAAGGCCAGGTAAGGCACAGGAGGGAAGGGTCTCAACACTGGGCAGTTTTGGTGGCCAACAAGCCAGATGTCACACAGACCAGAGAGAGGAAGGAGATTAGGACAAGGGCCACAGCATGCAGAGAACTGAGGGGATTCAACTTCTAATAGCATCAGCATGCTCTTTGCCCACAAGTTAAAGGTTTATCTCTTTCCCTCTCTCCTTCTCTTATGATACTCCCGAAAAACTAATGATGAAATGAAAATTCAGCAGCCACTATGTAACTGATTGCAAGTAACGGGAAACTTGTAAATTCCAATTGAGCACTTTGTAACTGATTTGTAATATTTGCTATCAAGCATCCTAGATAATCCAATCTTTCCCCAAATGTGATTAATTTTTCTACCACAAAATTAGGTGCATTGATTTATATTTGCCTTTTCTTACTATATCACAAGCTCCTACATGATTATTTTGTCAATATTTCAGCAAAGTATAATGATTCCATATTTAAAAGAACCCAGTCTTCCATCTTCAGGAGAAAATATTTTTCTCAACGTGAGAAAATATAGTCCAAGATAATTGGCAACTATAGCCTACCTAGAGAGAAGAAAATTAGTGCCCTCCCTCCAAAAAAGAAAGGAAAAGAAGAGAGAAGAAATGAAAAAAGACAAATGCGAGCAAGAATTGCTATTAAAAGCAAAGAAAATAGCAAGCACCCTAAAGAGAGCCAGGGATAATGAGTTTCTGAAGTCTGATAAGTGAGGATCGCAGAAGATGTGGTGGCAGAAGAGCAGAGCTTATCTGCAACATGACAGTCACCCCAGAAACCAGAGGGACCGCTCTGCCACACGTTGAACCCCACAGCACTGATTGACCACAGACCGAGTCAACCTTGTGAACACAGAGCACGAAGCCTCCCAGGTAGAAGTGGGCGAGCCCAGTGTCCCAGGTTCATCCCACACTCCTTTAAACTTCACTCAATTAAGAAGTCAAGAATGGATCATTTCAATGCTTCCATGGGGACTCGAAATCTACATTGGAAACTGAGTCACAAGGTAAGAAGGGTGGGACCAGCAGATGATGAGTAAAGGCTCTGATAAGCCAAGGAAGAACACAGATGACATAATGAAGACAGAGAAAGGCAAACTGCACTCAGTTCCTTCTAATTCTCATGTAATTGCACGATGAGTTTAATCTACATCATATTCTACATAAGGAAATAATAACAGTGCTAATAATGTGATGATCACTAAAGCAGCTGAAA